TCGATTTCGGACGAGTTTCCCGTAGCACTTTACTATCACGTAACGAAGATACGGCTGCATATGTGTACCATGTATAGCATGGCACACCCCGGACCGGGGTTCATACGATCCCTACGTTCTAGTTTGATTAGAAATGACTCGGCAAGTGAATCAGCAGAGCGTCAGGAACGGTCGTCCATTTGTGGGCGGGCGGGCGTGGCGGGCGTTTGGGACGTAAAGTTGTGGCTTGATAGGGCCCTTATAAGGGCACCTTCCTCGGGGAAACCGCTATGCAGCGCCTGCCCAGGGTCGCGGAATTCTATCCTGCCAGGAGTATTGATCCTAGTCGTCTTGGGGGATTTATCGTGCCAACTGCCTTTGACTTATAGAAAAGGCTGGTGCGATAGAAGTCCTCATGAGCCATAGGTCGATGGCTTGCGCAAGGGTACAGCAGAAACGTGAGGAAGTACCGTTGGAGGGATCAGGATAAGTTCTGAATAGAAAAGGCAGGAGAGGCTCACTTTTTTACCCGACTGGAGAGGAGTGCGGGTGGCACCAAGTTGTATCGTACAGAGTGGCGAAGAATTACTTGCGCGTGGTAAATGGACCGGAAAATTTTTCCCTCTGATCGACGGTTCGCTTCAGATCTCGTAGCTGCTTTGCGCACGGTTGACCGAGGAAGCAGCTTCTTCATCCAGCAGTTTCACGACCCGCAGCTCCCTCAATCTGAGTTCGCAGGTAACCCAAACCTCACTTCGTCATCAAAACTGTAGGCTCCCGCTTTGAAGCATTAGCGTCGTGGAAGGTTGTCCGATAATTGAGGGCATCGTCCTTATTCAGCTCCATTATTTTGGCATCTGCAGCTATCATGCTGGCGTCAGGGTGGTGGAAGAAAGAGTTTGAGGAAGCGCTTGGAGGGGTCGGTGCCGATGGTAGCGGATAACATTCTTGTCCATATTGCAGAAGAAGAAGAAGCAGGAGTCAAGCGAGTGGTACTAATAGAAAGACCACTCCTTGATGTATAAGTGCTCACATTACCGGTCACCCCTCTTCAGGTACTGGGTAAGTATTTCGAGCGTCTGAGAGTGTGTCAACCATGTTAGATCGCAGTGTGATGTGCAGGTTGCTTCTCATTTTCTATTGTGCAAGCTTAAAAATTTTCTCTCTCTTCTCCATAACGTTATGTCGCCCGCCGCCGTTTTTCTGCATACAAAGCATTTACTTAATTAGAAGTAGGAAAAACAAAATATTGGAAAAGGAAAACACTCCGAAGCACAGATGATCCATTTCGTTTGTTACCTCAGACGTACCATAACCCTGGATGCTCGTACTCCAACATTTGTTTTTTAAGCTCCTTTCTGTGTCCTTTTGGTTGTTTTTTTTCGCATCCAGATATGAGGAGGTCAGCAGACTGCTCAAGACCTATGCTGAGATATGCCCCATTATCATGAGGATATCAGTCTCGGCTATCCTTATCACCGCATATAGACGACATCCCATCTCAAGTGAGATTCATTTATTGGCATACTCGTTCTTGGAGGCTGTCGTTTTCGCTGTTTACTTTCTAGTACTAGCTGAGTTTCTGCTATAGCCTGCCTGTAAAATGTGTTAACTACATGTGCTCCAAATATTTGACTGATACTCAGTCTTGTTCAGGAACACCATGGAATATGAAGACCGCAGTGAAAAGGGTACGTTCACAACCGTTATTTACCCTCAGAAGGGTGAAGTATCCGACGTTGATCAATCTCTTTTGGGATGCGCACGCAGTCCTCCCTCTCCCTCACGCTTCATCTCAAGCTTCATCCCAAGCTCCTCCCTCCCCGCGCTACGCTTCGCCCTCCACAGCGTCTTGCCGCCCCTCCACTTACACTATATCTAACTCCACTCCTCTCTGGCCGGCGGCGACTCGCGTCGCCTGCCGAGTGGCTCCGACTCCACCTCTCAGCGCTTCGCTCCGCTCAGGCCAGCACAGCTCTCACACGAGGTCGAGCGTCGCTTTATGCCTCCAGACGAATCTGGCACAAATGTTACCCATCGCGAGGCGCCTAGCATTCTTCTTTCCGCTTGACCATCGTTTTAGTGCTTTCTGTAATATAATTCGTACCGCCTCATCACCGGAAAGCTCCCGACGCCTGGCATGTACAAAACGTCTAGCCATGTGCTGTTGCAGGCCCTTGCAGAGAAATCTCAGTCATCGTGATTCGTCTGCCTCAGAATCGATCAGGTTTTCTGATAGTTGCAAAACTCTAAATAATAACTCCCAATCCTCCATCCTCCTTCCTTTGTGAGTGTTATATCACTCGATCGTCTTCACTTCTCACACTCACACGTACCCTTTTATCAATTTAATACGGTGTGTGGCCTCACCCGAGTTACACTCACTCTCTCTCACCGGTTGTCTCACTCTCACACTCTCTCTCACCAACTCTTCCACTTCCTAACAGAATTCCCCTGTGATCCCTGCGACAGCGCTGCGTGAACTTCTTTCTCCCATCCGCGCTCAGTACTCTACCGCTCCTTGGCTCTCACCCTCTCTCTCTCAACTGCTCACCCAAACTCGGACTCTTTTCTGACCAATATCATTATCTCTTTCCCGATATATTCATTTCCTCTCGCTCGCGTCTGTGCAAATTATGAGGCATACTCAGGATCTGGTAATGTTAATGCCATGGCCCTGGCCCCGGTGCACCCGTCCCTGCCATATCGTATGCGGACACCCATCTTTTCACTGCCAGCTTACTTCCGCCTCAGCGGTAATCTGGCAAGGTGCCGTATGGAACTCGTCCGATCGATTTACAACGTCACTCACGAGAATGGAGATGGTGAGAAGGAGCTTGGTTCTTCGGATTTGACCCGTTTTCACTCCATGTTCCTTCGCCAGTTCCGCACTATACAGGCCCTTCTACGCACTTCTTAAAGGCGTCAAGTAGGAAAGCCACTCGTTCCAAATGCCTTTAGTCATTTTGCTAGCCATTCTGCTATAGCCATCCATACAACAGTCTTGGTGCAGAACGACATTTCTCTATTACTTCTAGTGTTAGCATCTTATTTGCACCCCATCACCACGCATGACTACAATCCTCTTACATCATCCTCACAGCTCTCCATCATTTATGCGGACCAGGCTGTCGGGCGTGGTCAGCCATGTATGAGGTTGTCCCCACCACTGTTGTAAGTCTCCGCTCTTCAGCTTTTGTTGAAACCGCGTATGCGACAAAAAGTGTAAGAAACAAGCAGTGAATAGAAGGATATAATTTACAAGTTAATGTCACTTGCCCTCTTCAACAAACTGTGTCTGCAGGCTTTTAGACTTTGGCACCGCGCCAAACGCCCCCAGTCTCGCGACTGACACACGCCCAACCGGCCACTATATGAGGCTAGACCTCTATATCATCCTCTCAGTTCTGTCTGTTGGCGTGCTGTTTATGTGTTGTGTTTTGCACGGGAATATTCACCACACTTCTTTTCAATTTCATATCATCGCGATAAAGCGTCTCGAAACTTATAAGTGAATCTAGGGGTCGGCAGAATCAACATTGGTGGGTTGTGGCAGGAAGTGATAACCACTTGATAGATACCATTAAGGCTCGTTTTATAAAGGCCCAATGTCAGCCAAACTCAGTAACCGCGCTCACAGCAAAGCTAGAGCTTGGTCAAGAAATAAGATAGGGGGCCACGATGGAACGATTATTGCACTCGCTGGCGGGGCAGGACGTGATGACAACTTCGGTAAATACCGTTAAAGAGCCTGTGATAGCGACAGCCTCACAACTTCGTAGGGCGGGGGGACATAGCAGCGGCGAACGTTTGGTTCCAAGAAAATAGGACAGGCGGGCAGGATTGGAAAAATATTGCCGTGGCGGCTGACCGGACGTATGTATAGCTGATAAGATACCGATACGTTCTTAAAGAGGGAAGCACCCAATTTCAAGGCTCGCTCTCAAGAACTGTAGAGCGTTGCGTTCATAAAAAGTAATGATGGAGGGGGGGGACAGGATGGGAACATTGTTGGTGGTGGGTGGCAAGGAATTGATAACAGCTGATAACATATCATAAAGCCCTAGAAAGGGACTAAATTCAAGTGCGCCGCAGCGACGGTAGTACGTTGACTGCAAGCGGTGAAATAGGAGGCGTAGGAATGGGGAACGGTGGGTCAGAGAGGAAGCTCCCAAATCTATGGGCAAATACTTAGTGAGCCAAATGTTTCTATTCCTCAGCGATAGTCGAAATTGATTCGACCGCTAAACGCTCGAGTTTCACCCAAAAGTAAAAGCCTAAAGATGTTTTCCAGTGAGGAATGATAAGAACCACCAGGATACGTGAAAGCTGCTCAACGGAAAGCGCTAGGATATGAGGAGCTTTCACTGACCGATTACCGAAATTCTTTCAACCGCTAAGCTTTTCTACTTCCAACAAATGTGGGGTGTTTTTATAAATGTGATAAGCACTAGACATTGGCAAATGCTTGATATCAAAGCACTAAACATTAAGATGCTTATCAAAGGTGAAATATGATGAAATGGGCCGCCGTGAAACATGGGAATTAGGCCACGTGTTAGTGGTCTGCACGAAAATCCTGTCAGTGATCAATACCATAGGTTTGATCATGCGCGCAGTAGTGCGCGTCAGCCAAACTGGTTAACAATAGAGCGCGGCTTCCTGTACTGGAACACTAGTTGAGGGTAGTTCATTATGATCTGCTGAAATAGCCTCCAGCCCACCACATTCCTTCCACGGTCTTACATACGTCCATTTCTGATCCGTCGTTATCACACACTTCGAAGGAAGTTCATTTTGAGTTAGGAGGGCGTCCCATTTTTCGCGTGCGATCGCTCGCGCGGTCTAAACGATAGTGTCGCTCGCGCGATTAGATCACGAAATATGAGCGCGCTCTAGAATTCTCTGACAATGAGCTGTCCTCCAGAGTGTTGTCCTCCACATTTCGTTGATCAATTACCCTTGTACCATTTCACAATTCAGTCAAAAAGGCTACGATTCATGAGCTGGACAAGAAACAGATGGAGCTTGCTAGAGCGAAGATGAAAAAGCATGCCGATTCCAGGTAAAACTTTCAAATCGGCTGAAGTCGAATCGGTCGGGTCCCGGTGCAAATGTCGCGCATGTAGCATATGCCTGTAAAGCTGCGCTCATACTTTGCAGCAGCGTCTACCAGAGACCACAAGCTTCCACCAGCAACCACTAGCTTTTCGAGAATTCGTCAGCGTCAGCGGTCAGCAAGGTATCGATATGAATCTAGCAAACAGCAACCTCTACCGATGTCCGCCAGAGACCATCAGCGTCTTGAGTGACTAGTATAGTATGAGTACTGATCTAGCGTCCACTGGCGTCCAGCTTCCGCCAGCGATCAGGAGTGCTATGTTGTAGTACGGTGCGGTTTCACACGCCACAATTTCGCGGCACCTAATCCAGACGTCTGTTCCTTCCTATTTCCCTACACCCTACCAGCGGTCTGCTGCCCATCTACTACTTCCTGTACTCTCTACTTCTGGTCGCTGGTGGACGCTAGATCGATATCCATACTTTCCTAGTCCCTCGAGACGCTGATGGTCGCTGGCGACGGTGGTGGACGCTGGTAGACGCTGGGAGATGCTGCCGTTCGCTAGACGATGTCTATGCTTTCCCTTTCGCTGACGCTGACGGACGCTTGAAACGGTGGTGGCAGGTGGACACAGCCGCAAAGTATGAACACAGCTCAACGCCTCTCTCTTAGCACTCTCCGCAACGTATATGTTAATGAACTGCTCCTCAAAAATCGCCAACAAAGTAGTACGATAATGCAAAGGGGTAACGAAAGAGAAGAGAAAGGAATTCAATTTCAGAGAAGTTGCAAGGCAAGAGGAGAAGAATTGGGTTGAATTCCGCAAATTGCAGGTTTTTTTTCTCCCAAATAGTCTATAATGTTTCCGAAGCAGTAGTTACTAGTTTCTTCTTGATTTCCAATTTTTTTTCAGTCAAGAAATCATGCACTGAACTCTCGGTACTACCTGTAGGGAAATGCATTTCAGGTTCTCTACGACTGTCGGCCGAAGTCACGTGCAGCTTCGCGAAGGAATGATGACGTGAGGAAGAATACTCCGTACAAGCGAGAGAGAGAGAGGTCATAAAATGAAGAAAGAGAGGGACAAAAAGAAAAAATATTCAGATTGAAAGAACTACAGAAGAAGAGAAATGAAATGCAAAGTGTAGTATCATGAATGAGTTTCTATGGGGAGAGCACAGGGGAAAAGGTGCAAGATTAAGAAAGCGGATAAAGTTAGGTGGAGGATACCGTAGATAAAATAATGAATATGGCTAATGACAGAGGGTAAGAAAAAGGATGAACGCCCAAGAAATCTGCAGAAGGAAACTGGGAAGGGATATTTAGTAAACGGAAACTCATCAGCTACGCGTTTTCCGCGATGCATTATAGGGGCGAATAGATGGGAGGAGACTCACAACGATACGCCTTCCTCAATGGTGTGCTCATTCATCTGACATGGCAAAAGGAATAGTGCATTAATTCGGAAGGTACAGTGACCGCGAGTCTCCGCCAATTTCTCCGCCCATCCGATTAATGCGGAATGTCACTTCAAGTGAGAAGTGGAGATGTCGCATACTTTTCCAG